GTAGAATTAAGGCAGTTCTGAAGGCGAAAGGGGGTCAAACACCGTATTAGTATGGTGTTCCTAATAATCCTTTAGGTGAGTGTAAATATCATGTGGTTAAATAATACTTAAAATTTTATTAAACATAATATACAAATGAAACTTCATAATGTATCAAAATGGCTCATCACTACACTACATCTGTCCTCGGTATGATGTTACACTGCAACCGGCCCTGCAAGCAGTCATCCAACTTGCAGGGAAGCAATTATTTGGGGGTTGGTGTCGGGATTGGCACTCCAGCCACTGTAAAAGAACTCACAACTGCTTGATTAAAACAAGTTAGATACTCTTTTGCTCTTCACAGGAGCAGCTCATGCTGCAGCTGCTCACATGAGGGCTGCACACACCATGAAGGGGATGGGGGAAGGCATTCGGGAGCCCCATTCCTGGACGAGTTGAATCCGTTGGAGAACTAATAGGGTCAGGCCTGTTGGGGATCAGTACTGGTGTGGTGCTGAGGCTTTGCCTGCTGTATGGCAGAACTCAGGTCCAAGTCTGAGGTGGCCCATCCGGGTTGGCGCATGGAACGTCTTGTCTCTCCGGCAAGATGATCATCTTTCTCTGCTGTCTGGGGAGCTTCGTATCTGATGTCACTCCTTTCAACGAGCGTATCATGAGACTCAGGCTAAGGCACTCTTGTCTGTTGTCTCAGTGTATGCTCTGATCACGGTGAATGATGTCTCGTTGAGGGAGACATTTTACTCGCAACTTCGCTCAGTGGTTGAAGAGTGCCCACGAGGTGACACTCCTCTGGTCATGGGTGACTTCAATGCGACCACTGACACTGACAGGGCTGGCTATGAGGATTATGTTGGTCCCCATGGGTCTGGAGACCGTGGTAAAAGTCCATGTTCCAGGTCAGGGGCTGTGGGTCGCTGAATTCTGTTTCCAACTCCCAGAGCCGCATCATTGGACTTGGTACTCCAATACTGGTGGTGCAGAGAAGGAGATCGATCACATCCTTGTGGGCAGTCACTGCAGGTTCCTGCAGGGTCTACAGAAGTGCACAGTTTGTGAATTCTGACCACAGACTTGTAGCTACTTGTACTAAGATTCAGCTAAGATCCAGTAGGCTACCACCTACTGGGAGAATGAGGCTGGATATAGCCAGACTCCAAGATCAAGCTGTTTCTGATGAGTTTGCATGCAGTTTGTGTGAGGAACTGGCAGACTTGGGTGCGACTGCTGACACTGTGATGTGGGAAACCTTCCGTGATAAGACCCTAAAGGTTGCTGAAGGCTGTTTTGGTGTTGCCAGTGTTCCCAGAAGAAGGTCTTTTATCTCACAGGGCACCCTGGATATTATTGAGAGGAGTCGCTGCGCATGACTTAGTGGCAACTCCAGTCTGTACTGGGATCTGAGGACAGCTGTGAGTGCTCTGAGGGCAGATAAGGAGGTGTTTGTTAGATGATTTGTGAGCAGGTGACACACCATCTGTGGCCTAGTGACCCATGTCCTGCTTACAGAGGAATCGAAGCATCTGAATCTGTTCCTCGGAGACTTGTAGTCAGGGCTGGTGATGGGACGGTCCTTACGGATGACACTGCAGTTGTGACGAACTGGGCCAGCTACTTTGAGCAGTTGTTTAAAGCTGACCCTTCAGCTAGGATGTTTGACATCTCTGGGTCTACGATTCTCGAAGCTGATCTTCCGATCAGTTGTGGTAGTGAATCAGCTGTGGGTAGGGAAGGCCGCAGGGATCTGTGGTATCCGGGGTGAACTTCTCCAGGCTGCTGGTAAGGCTGTCCTCCTGGCATTGCAGGCAATCTTTGCTTCCATTTGGGAGTCAGGCATCATCCCAACTGACTGAAAAACGGGACTTGTAGTCCTTATCTGGAAAGGGAAGGGTGATCGCCTGGATTGTGGCAACTTCAGGGGGACAACACTGCTTTCAGTACTGGGTAAAGTCCTTGCTAGGGTCATCCTTAACAGGATCCGTGATCACTTGCTTGCCTGTCACCGACCGTTGGCCTGTACTATGAAGCGGGTTTACTGGCTTATCAGGGTAACTTTGCGAGTAACTTCATGGCGTGTGGTGTAACTTCACAATTAACCTATACTACGAAAGGTGGGTAGGTTTTAGTCGAGACATGTTGCTATGGCAATTTACCCTAAGTCTCAAAACTGCTCCGAGCAGTTTTTGTTCTTGTTTAAGTCGAGGTTTCTGTGTAAGCCAGCCCTATATGAGCACCGCCCCTCCCACTACAATTTCTCCGAAAACAATGCCGGCGTACCTGGATGATCCATATGACATTAGCGTGGAAATCGTGAGGGGCTCTCTGTCAATATGTATGAAATGGAGCAATGGCATATAATATGCATACAATGTATTAATTAATAACTGTTAGAGAGAAAGTTATTCTGAAAACCCAAGGGGTGTGCATTGTTCCCTGTTGTCCACTGATCAAAGCACACTTCACTAGATGTGCCTGTCTTGTCTAGTTTTAAAGTTATTAACCCATTCATGTATTGTCCCATTGCACATTATACGGATACATTCGAACATTCAAAAATTAATAAAAATTCGTACGTAAAGCAATCTGGGAAACAAAGGAGTGTGCAACAGTTGCCATGAACCCAAAATGCTAAACCCCCATGTCATTACAGCTGACTGGGCTTATTATATTAGCTATTAACACGATTTGGCACAAATCACAAAATGGTTTGAAGTGCCAAAATAACTGGTGTGCATCGATGTCTGTGTACTGGACATCACGATTCTGTCATTAAAAACGCCCCACCTTACTCCCGTTAAATGTTATTAAAGCCAGAAAATTGAATATCGAATATGGTAATAGGGGTATGTTCTCGCTCCTACTCTGTTCAGTTCCTGTATGGACTGAGTGCTGGGCAGGGTCGTGGGGTCCAGGGGCTGTGGGGCGTCTGCTGGTGAAGAAAAATGTACTGATCTTGACTTTGCTGATGATGCCGTAATCTTAGCGGAGTCAATGGAGGCTCTGATTGGGGCTCTCGAGAGACTGGGAGAGGAGTCTGAGTGTCTGGGTTTGCGGGTGTCCTGGATAAAGGCCAAGATCCAGGCATTTAGTAACTTCTTAGGCTCAGCCATCAGTAGTGTGTGTCTGCGGGGAGAATGTCAACCTTGTCAAGAGATTTACCTCAGCAGCGACATTCATGGCTCTGGTGACTCTTCCTATGGAGGCAGCAGACGGGTTGGAAGAGCATGGGGGGGTCATGAGGTCGCTGGAAAGGGGTGTGTGGTGCTCCGGGGGTTGGCACCGGACCATGTATCTGCCTGGGGGATCGCCGGCAGGGATCTCGAGGAGTCTCGCTGTGTGGTAGGTGCGGCAACACGGTGCATCAGTGCATGTTCCCTAACCTGACCTGACTACAAGTAATATTCTTGCTTATTCATTCATAATTTCCCCGTGAAAATGCATTAAAATATCAAGTTATTCACAGATTGCATTTAACACACATCTTTTCTCTAGCAAAATCTAGTTAGTAAGTAAAGATTTCGCCACAGTACCTTAAGCAAAACAAGTAAAAATACAAAAACACGGGATAGAAATCAAGGAATCATTTAGGAATATCTCATCCACAGGAGAAGTGAATGTCTAAGCAGAGCTACTAATCAAATTGATGAAAAGCATGATATTTAGTGCAAAACTGACCTTTTATTAAACTTCACTTTGATTCTTTTAATAAATTTTGGGACATTAAGAATAAAGGGTAACATTGAAGGCAGTAGAGCTACGGTCTGGCAAGGTGCAATATGGACATAAGGAGAAGCTGGGCTCTGGCAAGATGCGATCTGGATACAAGGCGGCGAAGCATTGCTCAGGCAAAGTGCGATTTGGACGTTAGGAAGTGGAGCTGGACATTATCTATATTTAAACCCAGCCCATCTCCCAGTTCCAATTCTCTTGCTCACCAGTATTTTAGAATAGCTTTCCAGGAATCATTTGCATACATGCAGGAACCTCGAGGAAGTACTGTAGAAGGGAGAACACTTCCTCTATTAATCTGATACAAAGAAGTACATTTGATAATCTGTCATTAGCAGTGACAGCTACAATTTAGTGCAGCAAATAATAATTCTGATTTTTTTACCCCTGTGTATTAACAGACTACTTGTTCCTAACCTTACCTGAGGAACTATCCAAGGAAGCTTCCTCACAGCTGGTCAGCATGGAAATTCACTACATCAACAACTCTGTTATACTTATAAATAATGGGTTCAATGCCTCAGGTCAGGAAGTGACTATATTTAAGCAGTGCGAACACATGCCTGCCATCATCCTTTTTTATTTGGGCTTGCAGTTTGTTAACATGTTCTTGGGAATCCCAGCCAACTTGATGGTTCTGTGGCTTCTGCACAAAAACAAAATGGACTCCTCCACCTCAGACATCTTTATTTGGCACCTGGCTGTTCTGGACACCCTCTTCTGCTTCATCCCACCCCTGGAGTTGTCTGCCATCATGTATCTGACGAGCAGCAGCCCCTGGTACGTGCTACGCTTCTTCTACGGCATCAAAGACTCATCCCCATTCTTCCTCTCCTGCATCTGCTTGGACCGCTACATGGCGGTGGTCCACCCCATTACCTTTGCGGCGCTGAAGGACCGCCGACACCGGTCAGTGTGCGCCGTGGTTGTGTGGGTCCTCACACTGGCTTACGCGGCAGCCAAGTGCGCGGGAATCATTGTAAAATTCGAGAAGGCTTTCACTGTCATGATCCTGGCCACCTTCGCTGTCATGCTGTTCTGCAACATCTCCATTCTCTTCACCCTCCGGCACTCCGGACCGGTTCGGGACGTGATGCACCCATTCAAGAAGAAAGCCTTCAAGATGGTCCTCATCATCCTGACCATCATCATTTTCAACTATTTGCCTCCTGTGGCGCTCTTTCCATTTCAGGAGTACTTCTCTCACGATGTCTTCCACTGTTACATCCACTACCTTGCCTTTGGACTCATGGATATCAGCAGCACCATCCAGCCCATGCTGTACCTGTCAAAGGAGAAGCTGTCTTGCTCACCCAGGTGCTGCTGTAAAAGGTGCTTTGACCAGGAGATGCATGAAGTCTCAACATAAAACGACAACAGAGGCTTGTGGTTTTTATTTTGCTGAACGTTTTATACCCAAGGTTCTTGCAGGTTTCAGTAAGTTAAATTTAAGACCTTTTTAAGAACTTTTAAGACCATTATGAGTAAAATTTAAGACCAACATGATGCATTACTAGAAACATTCAAATGATACCAGAAATTCTCATATTTTATGTCACTCATATCCTTAGCCCAACATCCACATATCATATGTGTTTACAAAGTGCGTTTTAAAAAGTTCACATTTGTTTAAAGCATGTGGGAGTGGTATTTTAAAGCTTAAACTATAAAAAAGTTATATTTTTATAGTTTTATATATACCCTGATGGGTCTGGAACGTAACTTCCGCTGATGGGTCTGGAACGTAACTTCCGCGATAGGCGGGGGATCCAGACCCATCAACGATAGGTGAAAATCTGCGATATAGAAAGACCATATACATAAACTTTTTTATAGTTCAAGCCTTAAAATATATAGTGATCCCCCGCCTATCGCGGAAGTTACGTTCCAGACCCATCAGCGATAATGAAAACAACTGGAAACAGGGGTTAACGAGGGGGTGTGGCACACGGGAGGAGCGGACGAGCGGGGCAGGACATACTGCACTTTTAATCAGATTTTTTAGATTTTCTAAGCAATTTTTATTCAAATAAGTTTTTCTTCATCTCTATTTTGCTTTTTTGTCTTGGTGTAACTTTTTAAAATCTTGTTTTTATAAAGCACATTAAATAAACCCTGTGTATAATAATAAAAACTTGCCTTACCATAAGGAGACCGAGAAACGTTCTCCTCAAGACCACACGAACAACTGAAAACTATATGCTGGAAACTAAGACATTCACAAGGTAACTCCATGAAAAGCTCTGTAAAAGTAGAAATGTGTTTATTTTATGGTAAGACAACGTGAGCCAACTGGCTAGTAGTTGGCTTTTAATTGAAAATATTCACTCCAGTCATCAGAGAAAAAAGTTACTAACGCACTACATCAAAATATTTACATTGCAATAATGTATGGCATGAAATAAACTTGTAACTATGATCCTACACTATATCATTCAGTAATACAAATAATAAAACAACATACCGTTCACATTGGCCTCAAGAACTAAGTTAGCGCTTGATTCCCCTGCACTTCCTGTTGTGGCTGAGCGTGCACCTGATGTCAGTGGCTGAAAGTGCACGTTCTGCAGCCAGACCCTTCTCAAACTGTTTGTTTGCCTAGCTGCAGTGATCACGCAATGGGATTTGTAGTTTTATTACCACGCAGACACCGGTGCAGACCAGAAAACACAACCAACGGATTAGTTTTACTATTTTATTTTCTGCGGACAATGCTTTTTGGGAATTAACGGAGGTAAGTATTTTAAGACTTGGGTAAATTAAATTTAAGACTTAGGATGAAAATCTGGGCATTTTATGGCCTTAAATTTAACTTTCTGAATTTTAGACTTTTTAAGACCCTGTGGGAACCCTGTATACCAGAAGTACTAGTTCTTTAATGTTGCAACCTCGAATGTTATCATGTAGCTATATTTAACCTTACAAATCTGCATCTTTGTTAGATATGTAATCCCACTCATCCTCATACAAAGTGCAAAACGCTTAAATCCTTGATGTCAAAAAAACTATATTTGATCAATTATTTTTATAATCACAGGTCTCTGCGTTCTTCATAAGTAAACAGCTTTCATTCCTTGTAAACTTTTGTGCAGATATAATTTTTTTATGAACAGGGAACAGTAAATTGTAAACAGTTCATGCTTAGATTCTGTTTTCCTTCAGGCGCTATTAATGCTTTTCTAAAAGTGCCATAAAAACCTTTATTGTAGTGAATTCTACTAAAACTAAAGTTATTATGCACAATATACTAATGTAAAAAATAAACTTTATTTAACATTAATAGTGAAAAATTCTGGGAAACATGAAATTACACTACTCAGTTCAGATATCCTGACCCAGAACATCACATCCTGGTATGGAAATAGCCGTGTCCAGGACTTAAAGGGACTGCAGAGGGTGATTCGGGCAGCAGAGCGCTGCACCAGATCTGCTCTGCCGTCTCTGCAGGACATATACACCAGGAGATGCCGGAGCAGAGCAATCAGGATCATCAAAGACACGACTCACCCCAGTAGCAGTCTGTTTGAGCTGCTGAAATCAGGCAGGCGCTTTAGAAGCATTACGGCAAAAACAGAGAGGCTCAGGAGGAGCTTCTATCCTCATGCCGTAAGACTTCTCAACCAGGACATGACACCACTACCTCTCAAATATCATACAGTAGATACGTAAACTGCTGTATGATATTTTTTTCCCACTCTTTAAGGCAACTTCAATGCACACTGCACTTTGCACATCACCTTATGCGTCACCACTTGCCACTTTTTTGTATTTTGTATTTTGTATATGTTGGATATTTTGTTAATTTTTTATTCTTATTGTCTGCACTTTATATTTATATTATCTTATCTGCACTTTTTTCTTTTTTTACTCTTTCTTTCTCTTTTTGCACAGTCTTTGGATCGGTCAGGGTTCATTTCACTGCATGTTGTACTTGTTCTAACTATGTATGTGACAAATAAAGAATCTTGAAATCTTGAATATCACATACAAAATACTTTTTTTCTTAATGGGAATTTCAGTCAGTCATAAAGTCATAAGCTTTCCTACCTAATTAGTTTGATTATTTTTGACAGCACAAACATATTTCAGGCATTTGCCAACCCTAATGACCCACTACGACCATTGGATGGCCACCATCAAACACAGCAATCTGACTGGAGGTTTCATCCATCAATTATATCTAATCATATGTCAAACACTTAACCTCACAATACTACAGGACTGTGTGGATCAGATAAAGGCCATAACCTACCTACAGCACGTATAAAGTATCTAAGGTTAAAGCTGCAGACTCAGTGTGGATCTAAGCACATCTGTGACACGCCTACCTGTACCAACTCTAATTGGATGCACTACACCCAATAGCCATGTATGTTTCTATACATTTACAAATGATGATGTATGCAGCAGAACAGGGATGTAAGGTACAACACATCACACATGGCACACACACTACGGGATTTTATTCCATCTGGTTTGGTTGCTGATTCTGAGCCTCAGGGCCACTGATATTCTCTTCATCTTGAATAAAGACGTCGTTGCCCAGGTGGATTCTCATATGCTTTTTCATGGTAGGGTGACCGCTGTAGCTCTTCACGCAGTAGGTGCAGGAATACAATTTCTCTTTTGTGTGATCCTGCTTGTGCCTCTTACGGTGTCTGGATCGGCTGAAGCTCTTGCCACAGTAGGAACAGCTGTAGAGCTTCTCTCTGAAGGTCTTCCCACAAACACTAGTTGTCTCACCCATATGAGTTTGGAGATGCACTTTGAGCTGGTTGTGTTCACTAAAACTTTTCCCACAGCGGGGGCAACAATATGGCCTTTCCTCAGTGTGAACTCGCTTGTGTATCTGAAGCTGCCCGGGGTGTCCGTAGCTCTTGATGCACAGGTTGCAGCTGAAAGGCCTCTCACCCGTGTGGGTGCATTTGTGGATGTGAAGTAAACTTTCTCATCGACGTGGCTCTGCAGATGCACCTTCAGTGAGCCGATCTTGCTGAAGGTCTTCTTGCAGA